GAGCAAACTGCTGCCGGCACAGACTCCGTGGCCTGCTTTCTCCCTTTCATCTCCTCTCCTTTCTTCCTCTCTCCTCTTTGCTTCTCTCTTGCTCCCAGTGCTTCTCATCTGCTAGAGTTGTCCTGGAGGCATAGGGTGGCCTTTATAAAAGCCACCTGATCTTAAGTCTAAGAACTTTGTCATTGAGAGCCTCAAGTGGTCCATCCTTCTTCAAATTTGAGTCCATCATGGGGTTTCGAGATTAAAAATAAAAGACTTGGAGTCTTGCTGGCACCACCTCCCAGTGATTCCTGGTGTCTCAGTCCTTATGGGGTAGGTGCCCGGTGGATTGGATGCTGTCTTTTACTCAGGTGTGTGGCCTAGGGGAGCAAGATTTAGACTCATTCATGGCTCCCCTTGGCAACTCCTTTGCCACATGGGCTGGTGGCTTCACTTCTGTGGGCCACCAGCTGTGCAGTGGTATTTGATTTGGTCATTTCTTCATCCCCTCCCGGCTCTGGCTTCTTGTGATTGAAGCTACTATGCACCAGCGTCACATGGCTCTGTCCCTTCTCCTTATCCCTCTGCCCCCAGCTATCTTTCTCTGTGATGTGACTCATGCTTGCTAACAGTATGTGGAAATTGGCAAGAAGGGAGGCAGGCAAGCTTCAGACCCTTTGTCCTTGCCAGGCCCCTTCCTTCAATGGCTCCCCAGAGTTTTCAGGTTCAAGTTCAAACTCATTAACTCAGTACACCAGGCCTTGGTTCTTAGAGCATGGTCTCTGAAACTTGCTAACCATGAAGATTCTGATGAAAAAGGTGTTGGGTGTGTCCTAGGAATTGGCACTTACAATGAGCACTCCAGGGGATGTTTAAAAATCACCAATACTGGTGATTACAGGGAGTTAGTTCATACAATACAAGCAAAGAAATCCAAACAGTAGGAAAAAAGGCATATGCTGAAACTGTCCCCCTGCCACCATCCAGTCTCTCCTTGGAAGCCACCACTGCTATTGGTTCAGGGGATAGTGCATTGCAAATACACACACACATATGTAAGCATGTACTTGAACTCAGGGACAACCCAGGGGATTCTGCAAGTCCAGTAAATCCAGAGAACGGCTACACCAGGCCCTCTGGGATGTGCCCCGTCACCTCTCTGACCTCCACCCATGCTGCCCACCTGAACCCCTGCCTTGCTGACCTGCCACAGCTCAGCCACAGAGGATGTTGCTGCTGTCTATGTGCCTTACCTCATGTGGTTCTCTTTGCCCAGAAAACCCTTCCTGCTTTGCTATCCAGTCAATGTCTGCTTATCCTTCAAGGCTCAGCTCAAGTGCTTCCTCTTCCAGGGAGCCTTCCAGCCTTACCCTGAGCCCCACATTCTGGATTCTCTGCAAATTCACCTCCTGTTACTAAACTAACTGTGTTGAGTGACTTTCCTTTTTCTGTTCCCCCGCTGGATCATGAGCTCACTGTGGGCCAGGTCCATTTTTATACTCTGCTGAGTCGCTGAGTCCCTGTATGGTGTGCATAGCACATAAACACTCAATAAATGGTGTTTAATAAGTGCTCGGATAGCAGGCTTTTGTCTCATTCTTGCCTTTTGCAGTTTGGAAATCAAAACCACAGTGCTCTGCCGCCTCACCCAGGCTCTGCCGCCTCGTGGTGCTGCAGAAAGGGTGGGTGGAGATGGAGGCGAGGACCCTGAGCAGAAAGCTGTCAGGAGGGCAGTTTCCCTGAGTCACAGGCAGGAGGTGGCCCGCTGCTCCCAAGCACACATGGCTGAGGGGACTCAGAGGAGGCTCATACCACTGGATGGGGAGCCCCAGCCCCAAGTCTCCCTCTGGGGGGCTGCCGGCTGTGGCCAGTGGACAGAGTGGGGCTTGGCGGAGCACTCCTGGCAGAAGCAACGGGACAGGCCTGCCTCCTCTCCACTGTGCAGAGGGAGCAGGTGGCCTGGCTGTAGGGAGGGGGTGGGGAGACCCAGCAGAGGGAGGGGCTTGGGAGAGGAAACTGAAAAAGCAAAGGAGGGGGGTGCGTAGAATATGCGGCTGGCCAGGCGGTTGTTTAATGAGTATAATGTGCTGGGAACGCTAATGAGCTGTGTTCATTCATGGCGAGCTGCCTCCCAAATTGGGGAGCTAGCCAGACTCTGGGGTGGAGGAACTGGGGATGGGAGCCAAGTTGGGGAGCTGCCCGGCTGCTGGGCAGGGCGTCCCCTGACTGGCTGGTGGGGGAGTCTTTGTCCGAGGTTTAAGAAACCCTTCTTCCTTCCCCATTTTAAAGCAAAGGCCAGGCCTTGCTAGGCCATGACATCGTGGTTTAAGGCTGGCTTGGGAGTCACTGGCCAGGTTAGTCTGGAAGCTTCCAGGGCACCTTCTAGAGGTTGCTTCTAGTCTCTCAGGAGCCAAAGGCAGGGCTGATCATGCAGCCCTCTGCCCACTCCCAGCCTCCCTCCCACCCCGTCACCCTGCCTCTCTGCAGCCCTCCCAGGGCATCCTGCCAGGCTAATCAACACTTTCCCTCTTCCCCACAAGTCCTGGCTTCAAGGAGCCTTCTGAGGTCATGGGGCCAAGGCGGCACCCACCGCTGGAGCAGAAGGTTGGGAGACCAGATGTCTTCACCAGTCTGCGTTCCGTCTGTGACAGGCCTACTAAGTGCCAGGTGTTGGGTTAAGTGCCAAAGTGAGGAAGTGAGGAAGCCATGTGTTGGGGGCAGGCACAGCCCCCAGAAGGGGTGTCAGGGAAGGAGCCACATGTGTAAACAGAGCCCCGCTAAGAGGGAATAAACAAAGCAGCAGGCTCAAAGGAATGAGGATTTAACCTGCCCTAGGCAGCTGGGGAGGCTCTGGGAAGAGGGGCTGAGTGCTCTGAGCAGGCATTTGCAAGGGAGAGGGGAGAGAAGGCCATAGCAGGCCGTGGAGCTCTGGCCTGATTTGCGGGAAGGTTCTCTAAGATCACACCACATGAAGGCCCCTGAGAAAGTCCCTTCACCCTGAGTTGTCATTGAATTGATGCTCAAGGACCTATGGCCCTGGATGGAGGTCATGGTCAGGAGTGTGTGAAAACTTTCAAAAGTACTGTCAAGAGCCCATCGAGTCAGCCACATTCATTGTGACATACTGGCCACCCAGTGTGTGCTGCGACAGCAGAGATACAGCAAACTTTTCATAAAGATGGAAAAGAAAAACAAAGAGAAACCCTGAGTCTGTACCTGGTGGGTGATGAGGCTTTAATTTTGTGGAGCCCACCAGTACCACCCCATCCACCTCAGGAGGCCGTGCTTACCTGGCACCTCTTGGATTAGCCACCTTCCTTTCTGGTTTCTCCCAAGAAGACACCCCAGGCAGCCAACTCCCGTGAGGGGAGGTGCTTCTTGAGCTGCTCAACTGCTTCTTCTTGCCAGGCTGCCGGCAGCCGGGAATCAGGGTGCTGGCTGGTGGACAAGCGATGTCTGGGTGCGATGGAGTGTCAGCAAACCGGGGAGGTCCTTTTCTTTTCTGGCCTGAGGAGAATTCTCTCCCCACCTGGATTTTCGGTTCACACCCATGTTCACACCTGCCTGAGACTGAGAAAAGTCCCTGCCCAGAGGACTGGAAGGCCTAGGGTCTGACCTGGGTGGCCTGTGGTGATTGTCACCCAGGCAGGTCACCCAGCTCCTTTCCAGCCCTCCCTGCAGTCCTTTGAAGACGGGATTGAATATTCGTTTTTGTTTATTGGAAATAGAGGAACGCTGGTGTGATGGAGGAAGATAGATGCTATGCTCAATTTCCAATCCCCACTGGTACCCTGCGCTGCTCCCTACCACCTGGGAAGCCGCCACAGTCCAATGGGCAGAAATACCGTCCCCATGCTGTGTGATGTCCAAATCAAGGCCATTCTCACTCTGGGTGCAGCTGGCTGCATGCTCCCCTCGGAAAGTGGGCTGCTGCCATCTTGGAGGAGACTGTGAATGTATTGATGGAGGGGAGGAGACTGTCTTTGGCCTAGGGCCCCTCCCTCCCCCAGACTCTGCCCTCAAGGTCTCTCGCTAAGTAAGGTAGGTGCTTGGATATGGCCACCTGGGGCACAGAGCTTCCTTTCACGGTGAATTGAGGAAGCAAGTTCCAGGGTCTGGGAGCAGTTTCTGCCCTTGAGGAAAGCTTGTCTGTGGCGCAGGGGAAAGGGTCCAGGGGAAAGGGTCCAGGCGGCAAAATAAAATCCTCTCTCCGCTCTGGATCAGCAGCGGGGGGCTTCGGGTGCCGGATGCTCGCGTCTAAGGGTGTTCATCCTCTCTGCGTGTGTGTGTGTGTGTGTGTGTGTGTGTGTGTGTGTGTGGTGTGTATGTGTGCGTGCAGCCGGCGAGGGTCAGACGGC